GTAGTTATCTCTTATGGTGACTTGGGATAGTATGTGATTTTGAGTAGTTTGAATATTCATTGTAATTATTAGCATAGCGTGATCTTTGGGGTTTGGGTGAGTATCGGTTGCTTGAACCAGGTACATTGTAGTATTTTGGTGATTGTGTAGGTCTGTTGTATGTTCGGTATGAGGTTTTGCGGCATCTGTGAGGTATGTGATAGTGATTGGTAGTAGGTGGGTGTATTTTGTGCAGGGGTACTTTGTATTTGTTGTTCGGGACTCTATAGTTTTGTGGTATATGTGGAGAGTGTTGTGGTGGTTTGTAGAAGGCGTATTGGGGTTTAGGTTGAATAAAATTGGAATTGGGTCTTGCATAGTTGTGATGCTCAGAGTGTTTAGCTCTAGGTGGGGGATTTTTAGATATATAACTTTTAAGTGGTAAGTTCTTACTTGCTTGTTTGAGTAGTCTTGTCTGTTATGTATTTTCAATATGGAATTTTGTTTATACACTTTGGTCTAAGTGAAGGGCATGAGTTGTTCTTTGAGGTTAATGATTTCCGTGTCTAGTAAGGACAATGTTTTACTTTTTTTTAACTATCAGGGTTTCCATGAAGCCTAGTGTACACATTTCTAATGTTGTGTTCCATTCATTCACAAATCGCTAGATAGATATTCACTAGTCAAGACTTTTTCTAGTTTGGTGAACAATTCTTGCTGGCTTAGATTATTAGGCCTTATATGAATAGGGCTGATAAGTTCAGTATCGAATACATTGTCTATATCAATAACATAATTGCTTCCTCTTCAGCTCCCTCACGCACCGCACTGATACCGGAGCTGGAAGATGATGTCATCTTCCGGCGCCGGCATCCCTACGCGGTGCGCGAGGGAGCTGAAGAGGAAGCACTGAGTGCTCCCTCGCGCGCCCGCCTGCCTGCCCGCCCGACCGGCCACCCGCCCAGGAGCCCAGCAGCACCACTGGACCCCAGGGAATCCCCCCAGCACTCCAAAAGGTAAGGAGGCTGGGGGGATTACATTTGAAAAAAAACAACTAGTGTTAGTGTTTGAGTGTGTGTGAGTGTTAGTGTGTGTGTCTGCTAGTGAGTGTTAGTGTGTGTCTGCTAGTGAGTGTTAGTGTGAGTGTTAGTGTGTGTCTGCTAGTGAGTGTTAGTGTGTGTATCAGTGTGAGTGTTAGTGTGTGTGTCTGTTAGTGAGTGTTAGTTTGTGTGAGTGTTAGAGTGAGTGTTAGTGTGTGTGTCTGCTAGTGAGTGTTAGAGTGAGTGTGAGTGTGTGTGTCTGCTAGTGAGTGTGTTACTGTGTGTGTCTTACTGAGTGTGTGTGTTAGTGAGTCTGTTTGATGTCTGTTAGAGAGTGTATGTTTTGTAAGTGAGTGTGTATGTATGTCTGTCGCTGACTGTGTCTCTGTCAGTAAATGTGTGTGTCTGTTAGCTAGTGTGTATGCGTCTGTAAGTGTGTGTGTGTGTCTCTTCAGCACTTACCTTTCTCCAGCGCCGGACTCCCTTGGCGCTGGGGATCCCTCAGCTCCGAATGCGACCGCGCACGCATTCAAACCGCCCATAGGAAAGCATTACTCAATGCTTTCCTATGGACATTCAGTGTGCTCCTCTAGCGGCTGTCAGTGAGACAGCCACTAGAGGCTGGATTAACCCTCAGTGAAACATAGCAGTTTCTCTGAAATTGCTATGTTTTCAGCTGCAGGGTTAAAACTAGAGGGACCTCACACCCAGACAACTTCATTGAGCTGATGTGATCTGGGTGTCTGTAGTGGTCCTTTAAAGGACCACTATAGTGCCAGGAAAACATACTAGTTTTCCTGGCACTATAGTGCCCTGAAAATCACAGTGAGAAGCACGCAAGCGCCTCTAGCGGCTGTCAATGAGACAGCCGCTAGAGGAAATAGGGGAAGGCTTAACCCATTCATAAACATAGCAGTTTCTCTGAAACTGCTATGTTTATGAAAAAATGGGTTAACTCTAGCTGGACCTGGCACCCAGACCACTTCATTAAGCTGAAGTGGTCTGGGTGCCTAGAGTGGTCCTTTAAGTGTGTGTGCATCTGCATGCACTGGCGTACATACCGCGGTCGCAGCCCTGTAACCCCTGCGAACAGGTGCCCACCGCCATGTGTTGCGGCCCGGCCCGCGCGCGCGGGGGGGGGCCCACGGATCAATTTTCGCACCAGGGCCCCATGGGTCAAGTGTACGCCACTGTTAGAGCTCCTAACTTCAAATCTATTTTAACCTCCAATTTCACTAGAGAAATTAAGAAAAAAAAATGCACTAACTTCTTTTTTACCTGATGCCAAAGTTTTTTTACAAGTATAGTGTGTAAAAGTACTGACCCCTCTGTCCCTTCTAAAGTAAATCAATTTGCATCCAATAGAACAAATAAAACATACAAAATAAATGACTTTATTGCATGTAATTAAAAAAATGTTATTTGGCTACTGGAGTGCCCTTGTGGCCTCCAATATGTATGAATGACTACTAGAAGTCTTAAAATGCGTCTAAGTGAACACTGCAGAACTATCAAAAAAGGATACTTAAACCATTCAGTGTCTAAACATTTTATTAAACATAACAGTGACCCAAAATGTTTAAAATGTATAGGTATTAAAAAGTGTATAATTCCATGGAGCGGAGGAAATATTTTAGGTAAAACAGAAATGGAATGGGTATATAATTCACAAACGCTAACCCCTTGTGGTCTAAATGCAGAATTTGATCTGTTTAATTTTATATAAATATCAATAGTTTTATATTTTATATCTATCCATTTTAATATCCTAATAATATCCTTTTATATTATTAATTATTCCTGTTTATTGTTTGTATGTAAATTTCCTGTATTAATATATTCATTGTCACTATCTGCACTACAATGGAGCTGTAATCTCCTCTTGCCCTCCTCAATATGGCCGCCGTCATTTGCGGCTACTTTATCTTCCACCTAATAGGAACCTTGTCAAAATGACCTCCCCAACATGGCCACCACTATTTTCAGTCACTATTTGACCTACACAATATGGCCGCCGCAATTTGCCTCTTGCCCTTCACAATATGGCCGACGGCATCCACATCGGCTATGTAATCATTTACTACATATCCCATGTAGCATTGCAACCAATTACACACCCACATCACATGACCAACTTCCCAATGCTATTTTCACTTAATGTAGCCCTTGTTTTGTATAAAATTTAGGACATTTAACCTCTGTACTACACTAAGAATACAATTTAATACCTTTTATGTATTTTTAAAATGTTTTTTAAATATGACAAATTCTAATTGGATAATGCTGATTCTGGCGCCATTTTTATCCCTATATAAACTCCTAAAGCCAGGTTGATTGTTTTTACTCCATTTGATAAAGCCTGTAAAGGTGAAGCACAGACTTTTTCATCTTTGGTTTATAACATTTTGTTGTGAGACTTTTACACCAGATCTATTTCTGTTTTTGTGCCAAATAATTTGTACTATTAGTGTTAACCTGTGGCACAGCCCTTCCCTTTTCTTTTGTTCTTCCTGATCAAGAGATGTCTGTCCAGACAATACTAGTAGAGATTCAGATGGATTACTGTAGGATCTGGTAGACATAGAGTTGTGGATAAAAAGCATAATGCACAGTCTGTGACTCTACATAATTAATTTTCTGCATTTTCAGAGTGTAGTGGTGTTGTGGAGACAGGCTCAGGCATCAAGTGTAGTGGTGTTGTGGAGAGAGGCCCAGGCACCAAGATTGTGGAACCAACCAATGACAAAAAGGTGAGACCTGATAGAAAGCAGTTGTTTTTGGGAGATTTTATCATAAGAGGTGTGGAGCTGGACAATAGCAGCCTAGTGAGTTGTCTTCCTGGAGCTACTGCTCGCAGAGACAGGAGGCTTATTTTTAATATGGTTAAGCAAGCAAAGCAGGAAGGGGAATTGGATGTACTTGTCTAATCTAGGAACAAATGACTTGGCTTGCAATGAAGTTTCGAGGTAAAGGAAGTTTTTTTGATATATCACAGGTAACAACCAGCAGAATTCTTGTTATAGTAAACCTTTATCTGGTGTTTTACCATTATTTTTTTCGGCATTGTTTTTTCCTTATAGTTCTCTGGCCTTTTGTTTAAAATTCAATTGAATTACCAACAATTCTCACTCTAGTTAATAACCCAGTATGTATGTACCTAAAGGGACCAGACATAGGAGCACTCTTTTTCAAAAGCCAGTGACTTTCTTCCTTTCACCTTCTTCACAACAATCTCTTATATGATCAATTTATTTATACTCACTTATAACAGACATTAATATCAAATGGTGCACAGGTTAGCAATACTGAAATGCTACAATAATTCATCCTGGTCCTCTTACACTTGTTGCAGGAGAAGTA